CCAGAGATATAGCTCAGTGGTACAGTACCTGCGTGGCAAGTGTAAGGTCTTGAGTTCAATTCTCAGTACCTCCTCTCCCCACAAAAAAAGATTAATAAATGTCTTTATTTGTTTAAGGCCTGGTTCTCATTCTGTGTATCTTCTAAGTCAAAACTGCAGAATCAATGTCAAATGCAGCTTTGACAGATATTAAGGAAGACTATGGAGACACACGGATGGTATGGAGCAGTAGTTTCTCTATATTACAGGAAAAGCCATGTTCTGGTCTGGAAAATGTTCCTACCCTCCAAAGTCCTGTGTTAGAAGGCACTACTGGGAGGTGGTGCAGGCGTCAACAGTGGGGCCTAATGGGAGGTCTCCAGGTAGGAGCTGCTTTTGAAGGGCATGTGAGGAACAACACCCTCCTTCTTCTCTCCTATGCTTCCCTGCCATGACGTGAATGGCTCTTCTACCATCACCCCTGCATGACATGCTGTGCTACCACACTGGCCCAAAGCAGTGGGGCCAATCAGTCATGGGCTGAAACCTGCAAAATTGTGAGTCAAAATAAACTTCTCTCTATAAACAGATATATTACAGGTATTTCTCAGAGTAAAGGAAAGCTGACTAACACAAGCCACATGCAATAGGGAGGAGACAGTGATGGGGGCAGGAACCATGCCAGCTGGAAACTCTGCCTCCTCACACACAAGCTTTTCAATGATATACTCTCATTTATTCAACAAATTGTTATGCACTCCTCAAGAATAATTTACTATTGGAAGCCTTGCTACAATGGATGTTAAGTATACAGTTGTAAACAAAAAGACAAAATAGTTTCTCTATATTGGAACTTTTATATGGTATCTATTTTTGTCCTTTTTCACGTCACTCATACTATCTTTCCTCAATTAGTCAGGTGGCCAAAATTTATTGTATATACATTATTTCTGTGAATAAAGCTCAAGAACAGACAATACTAGGGCCGGAGAGATAGCTCAGTAGAATAAGCACTTGCCTGGAAAGCGCAAGGGCCTGAGTTCAATCCC